GTGTGTGAGTGTGTGTGTGCGAGGCGGCGCAGCGAGAGGCATGTTGTAGCTACATCTCAGTTCAATTTGTCCCCGACCTCAAATTGAAATTCCATTTTCAGGTGGTAAATTGTCTCCCACTTCGCCCTCTGGCACACAGTGAATTAAAATTCAAATTAGCCTGACCCTGCACCACTGCTCTCTAGCACCTCTCTGTCTGTCTCTCTCTTTCTCTCTCCCCCTGTCTCTATCTCGCTCGCTGTTTTGCTCTCTGCCCTCTCATCTCTTCCCCCTATTATCCTCTCCTCTCTGTTCCTCTCATCTCTTGTTATCCTTTCCTCTCCGCTCTCCTCTCCACTCCTCTCCTACCTCTCTTATTTTCCCCACAGTTTCTCTCTATATACCCCTGCACCTCTCCCTACTCATCTCCCCTTTCGCCTTTGACTTTTCTCCGCTATTTAATCCCCAGTTTCTCCTCCCTCCTGTTTGTCTTTTCTCTTCCCTTCAATTCTTATCTGTCTGTTTTTTCCCCCGTCCTTCCTTTCTCCTCTTCTCCTCTTACCAACAAACATGTAGAGAATTGTGACATGCAGGAGGTGGACAAGTTTAATCCGAATTGGCCACATATTATTTATAATGTGATGAATTACATTGTAAAAAAATCAGCTGAACTTTGATTATTTAGATACTTATTTCAAAAAATGTATGCAGGGAGCAACTACCACTGACAACTTTCTATTCAAGAACACCTGCAGCCATATTCACAAAGCTTCTGAGTACAAAGAGTTGCTCCTAGTGATGAAATTCTAAGAAAGTTCTTTGAATCCTGATGTTTTCTAAGAATTTCCTCTTACAGTTAAGACTAGATTCTGGTTGAGATAAAGGTTATTTGGGGCGTCGGTGGCTTAGTGGTAGAGCAGGCGCCCCATGTACAAGGCTGTTGCCGCAGCGGCACGGGTTCGACTCCAGCCTGTGGCCCTTTGCTGCATGTCACTCCCTCTCTCTCTCTCGCTCTCCCCCTTCACACTCATCTGTCCTATCAATTAAAGGCTTAAAAATGCCCAAAAATATCTTAAAAAAAAAAAAAAAGATAAAGGTTATTCACAAAGCATGTTAGCCCTTAAGAGAGCTCCTAAGGTAAAAAACTGTTAATAGTAGGGAGGAGGACTTTAAGGGCCTTAAGCGTCTTAAACCAGTGGTTTCCATCTGGTCCAGCCACGAGGTCCAGATTTCCCCTTAGTCATTAGTTCAAGGTCCATGCAGTTACATATATTTACATTTCACACTTTGTCCTTTCCAGCCGTCTAAATGGACTCAGAGCGGTGACTCAGCATTTTTTCCGCATATGTGAACACTCCAAGAGAACTCAGACCCTTCTGAAGCGAATGTTTTCTGAGTTTGGTTCGCTTCAAGTCTGCAGTCAACACAAAGCGCTCCTGGTTCGCTTTGCTCTTCATCATTGTATTACCCCTCTAGATCACATGCTGTTGCACTGGGAAGCTTGAAAAAACAGATGAAACCACGTCAGCCTGTAACACTTGCAGGGACGCAGAACGGGGAGATGTTTGGGCCACAGAAGATACTGCACGTCTCCAGATGTGGAATGTAGAATACATCAAACAGCAACAGTCTACAGCACAGAAACGCTAAGGTTTTCCTCCAAGTAAAACAAAACTATGTCAATATACAGTACAGGCCAAAAGTTTGGACACACCTTCTCATTCAATGCATTTTCTTTATTTTCATGACTATTTACATTGTAGATTCTCACTGAAGGCATCAAAACTATGAATGAACACATGTGGAGTTATGTACTTAACAAAAAAAGGTGAAATAACTGAAAACATGTTTTATATTCTAGTTTCTTCAAAATAGCCACCCTTTGCTCTGATTACTGCTTTGCATACTCTTGGCATTCTCTCCATGAGCTTCAAGAGGTAGTCACCTGAAATGGTTTCCACTTCACAGGTGTGCCTTATCAGGGTTAATTAGTGGAATTTCTTGCTTTATCAATTGGGTTGGGACCATCAGTTGTGTTGTGCAGAAGTCAGGTTAATACACAGCCGACAGCCCTATTGGACAACTGTTAAAATTCATATTATGGCAAGAACCAATCAGCTAACTAAAGAAAAACGAGTGGCCATCATTACTTTAAGAAATGAAGGTCAGTCAGTCCGGAAAATTGCAAAAACTTTAAATGTGTCCCCAAGTGGAGTCGCAAAAACCATCAAGCGCTACAATGAAACTGGCACACATGAGGACCGACCCAGGAAAGGAAGACCAAGAGTCACCTCTGCTTCTGAGGATAAGTTCATCCGAGTCACCAGCCTCAGAAATCGCAAGTTAACAGCAGCTCAGATCAGAGACCAGATGAATGCCACACAGAGTTCTAGCAGCAGACCCATCTCTAGAACAACTGTTAAGAGGAGACTGCGCCAATCAGGCCTTTATGGTCAAATAGCTGCTAGGAAACCACTGCTAAGGAGAGGCAACAAGCAGAAGAGATTTGTTTGGGCCAAGAAACACAAGGAATGGACATTAGACCAGTGGAAATCTGTGCTTTGGTCTGATGAGTCCAAATTTGAGATCTTTGGTTCCAACCGCCGTGTCTTTGTGAGACGCAGAAAAGGTGAACGGATGGATTCCACATGCCTGGTTCCCACTGTGAAGCATGGAGGAGGAGGTGTGATGGTGTGGGGGCGTTTTGCTGGTGACACTGTTGGGGATTTATTCAAAATTGAAGGCACACTGAACCAGCATGGCTACCACAGCATCCTGCAGCGACATGCCATCCCATCCGGTTTGCGTTTAGTTGGACCATCATTTATTTTTCAACAGGACAATGACCCCAAACACACCTCCAGGCTGTGTAAGGGCTATTTGACCAAGAAGGAGAGTGATGGAGTGCTGCAGCAGATGACCTGGCCTCCACAGTCACCGGACCTGAACCCAATCGAGATGGTTTGGGGTGAGCTGGACCGCAGAGTGAAGGCAAAGGGGCCAACAAGTGCTAAACACCTTTGGGAACTCCTTCAAGACTGTTGGAAAACCATTTCAGGTGACTACCTCTTGAAGCTCATGGAGAGAATGCCAAGAGTGTGCAAAGCAGTAATCAGAGCAAAGGGTGGCTATTTTGAAGAAACTAGAATATAAAACATGTTTTCAGTTATTTCACCTTTTTTTGTTAAGTACATAACTCCACATGTGTTCATTCATAGTTTTGATGCCTTCAGTGAGAATCTACAATGTAAATAGTCATGAAAATAAAGAAAACGCATTGAATGAGAAGGTGTGTCCAAACTTTTGGCCTGTACTGTATATTATATGTAGTGTGAACGGAAAGAGGACTGAGGCCCCATCAGAGCTGAAGTTGACCAGAAATAGAACTGACAATGTGAACTGAAAAAGAACTGAGTTCCTTTTCTGTTGGTCCACTTTGGGAGGAGTTTGGTTCAGTATAGATTTAGTGTCATACTTGTTGTTCATTCACTCTACAGCAGGAAACAACACTTCAAAATAAAAGCTTTGTGCCGGAAACTAAATGTACTTAAATGAAGTCTGTTTTTTACAAATTGAACACGTTTGCGAGTCACTTGCACTCAGTGGAAGTGGACCCATGACCCACTTCTGGAACCCGACCCACTAGTTGGAAACCACTGGAGAAAATGGTGGAAATACAAAGGGGTGGGAGAAATATTCTTCAAACCCTGGATGACATTGAGTAAATAAAACACCACAGATTAGATGGTGCAGGGATTATGTTTATGGTCGATCTCATCAGAGATGCGCTCACATCTCCCAACCAACCCGAAACTGGTATAACGCCAGAAATGAAAGTGATAACAACACAAGATAATTGGCAACTGGACAAATGCAACAGTGCAGCAGTATGACTTGGGTCTGTCTCAATCTTCCATCAGCAGAGTGATCATACAAACAAATAGAGATTTCACTGTCTCATATTACGACACAGGTTATTTTATTTCAGCTGGATGTCTACACTTTGCAGGTTCTGTGACAACCAATCATATCTTTTAAAAAATGCATCATACCTGGCAGCGGGGTTGAACACACCTCCTCGCTAAAGAAGAAGTTTCTGTCCCTTACTTGCTCAGAGTTGCGCTGAGAACCACCTAAGCTAGGACTCCTTGTTAGAAATTTTTAGGCAAAGTTAAGAGCTCTCTGAGAGTGTTCTCAGAATATTTGTGAATATGGCCCCATGTTTTAAATCTGAATGTATTGTAGTCATATTGTTTTATTACTTCATAGAATTGAATTGATCTTATTTATTTATGTTTTTATGTCCAAGCTTTTTCTAGACATTCAATCCACATTAGTGAAGACAGCTGAAAGCTCTTGAAAATGATTATTATTTTTCTCTGTTTTGCCAAACTACTACCGTCAAGAATGAGCATTCACTCCCAGCTTTTAGATAGTTTTTTTTTTACAATTCCACTTTAGGTTATTCCCAGGAAGCGATCCTTACTCTGATTCTTATTGCCATTTTTATTCATGATTTTATAATTGCAGTTCTGTTTACTTCTGACCTTGTGAGATATTTTATGTTATCAGTTTCGTGTTTGTGATAAGTAACACTGTTATTACTGCCTACCTTGGCCAGGAGACTCTTGAAAATAGCTTTTTTTTTAATCTCTTGAAGGTTTTCTTGGTTAAATAAAGGTTATATTAGAAATAAACACACCCACACTGACATGGGGCTTTCATTACATCGGTGCAGATGGTTATAATAACTTTTGCTCAACATCAAACTGTTCAGTATATAATAGTCTACATACAGTATAATAGCTCCCTCACACTAGCCTTTTCAGTCAGTATTTTTTGGACGAATTGGCTTTTTAGATGGTATATACACTGTATAAGTATTGTGAAATTCAAAGCCCTTCTCTCGTAAATCAACCTGAGCTTCTTCATTTCATCTCCTCTCTCCGGCTCTGTGTCCTGAGAGCAGTACGGATGCTCAGATTTCCACAGCTAATAAAGTTTATCTCCTACTCCTGCAGCCCTACCTCTCAGTCATGCTGAACAAAGGTTCTCTAGAGGTCTTGGTGTTCACCGGCCACCACAGTCCACGTCGTGTCATCAGGCGACCTGAGCATGGCATACTGCATGATGGGAGAGAGCACTCACTGCGCATAGAGAGGCTTCCTGGCAGGTTGGTGTTGTGTGTCTATTCAGTTTATGTCCATACCTGGGCAACATAATCTGTTTTCTCTTGAAGACTTTTACACTGCATGATCAATTTAACACTTCCTGTGTGCCTGTCTCTGTGGGCGCATTTCCTCAGATCTTTCGCAGTTCAGGTGGATGAGGATCCCAAAAGGGAGGCAGCGCTTCCCAACGACCAGCCAGTGAGCCTGCAGCGCATCTTCCTTGGTGGTATTCCCGCAGAAGTAGAGCAGACGTCCAACAGAGCCAACGTCCCATTCCAGGGATGTATATGGAATCTCATGGTCAACGCTGTGTACGTATCATCTCGTCTATGGCTCAGTCTCATTACACCCCTTGCCTCTACCACTTACCCTTCCATTTTGTGCGTTCACGTCAAGGGTTAGGGTGTCTCTAGGGTATCCCTTCTTGTTGGGATAGAGGGGTAAAGCAAAGTGTTGGAGCTACATGGCCCTCCAAACAAAAGTGCTTTGCTCTTGAGGACTCATGACAACAGTTGATAGTGTGAAACTTACGATGTGCACAAATCGCAAGCATCCACGCTTTCCTATCTCCATCAGATAAATGGCAAATGTCATCGTGATAATACCATTGTTGCCATTCGATTCTACTTCTATGTAAACACCATTGATGTCTTCTGATGACGTATTATGGTCTTGAAAGCTTGTCCCATATTGTAGGGGAAGATTCCAACCACTACCCCTTGTAACTTTTTTCTGAGGGGCAAAGGGACGTTCGAAAATTAGGTGCAGGGGTAAAAATAAGACATGGGATTGGACCTGTATATTCAGTCAGATGTCTATGAACTGAAACCCAGAGCTAAAATGAGCTTTTTCTTGAATCTGAAATATAGCTGAGTAATTTGGAGTGGTGCACTTGGTCTTATTCTTCTTATTAAATTGAAATGTAGAGTGTGTTCTGGGGGCATGATCATGCTTTGGTCTTTTTGAAGTATCAGTGTTTGAACAGAGTAGAGAGGTTTTTGTAAAAGCTCCTAACACTTAGCAGTACGTCATAGTACGGTGACCTGAAAAACTGTGAGTGTGTATTGTTGCAGTGGCCATTTCAAAGTAAGTTTTATTTTTCAATTAACCATTAACATCCACTTCTTTCCTCCGTGTCTTCAAACTTCTTTTAGCTGAATCACACCAAAAACTAGTGACTGATCTTTTTTGCCATGAGTTTGTTTTTCCATCAGAACCAATCACGTTCTATGTTATGATCTGATCAGATGAAAATGTCTTTAAAATAACTGAAACCATTTCTTTGCTTTTGATCCATCCACAGAATAATATGGTTTTGACATGACAAGATAAATACCGAGCAAAAGAACAGAGTCAGCTTTTGATTTTGGATATTTCTCTGCCCTGCCTTCCACCATGTTGAAACACTGACACAGGCAAAACTGACCAACTTACTTTACCTCTGTAAACTTGAACTGTTCACCTTAAATGCACTGTATTAATGCTCATGCTTAAGACTGTGCAGCTTTCCCTCACTGTCCTAATGTTTATCCAATAATGTTTTCTGGCAGTGGACGACAGGCCCTCATTTTGACCTCATATACTTTTGGGTTAAAGCGTCGTTAATGTGATTGCAAGAGGTCACAATAATGCTGTTGATGATGATGATGATAAAGCCAGCGCCTCTTTCTGCCTGAACAGCAGTAATAGAGCTGTCCAACATCATAAACATACTCATAACTCAAATTACACTCCTCTCTCATCTTTGTGTGTTTATGTTTGTGTCTGTTTGTCTATCGCTCACCTCATTTCAACCCTCTCACCCTGCCACTGTAATTTCTATTTGATATACATCTGTCTGCCCGTCAGTGAGTCTTTATTGTTTTTTGTGTGTATTTTCTGTGGCTGTTCTTGAAGCACCCATCATGATAGAAGCTACCTTACGTATATTGTTTGGGTGCTATTCCTGAATAACTCCTACTATACTTCCTTTTCCTAGTGCTAATACATAATCACACCATGGTAATAGGAACCTTGTCAGTGAGTGCACTGTGGCCCTGACTCTTGATCTAGCAAATATGTGTTAAGACACACAAAACAAATTGTAGACGCAGTGTAAAATACTAAATACAAAGTGTAAGGAAACACGAAGATATCCAGATATGCTCTGGATGGCACGAATTGCCACAGCTGAAAGCCACTAATTACGATAGTCAGTTCGGTCTGAGGATTCAGTGTTGGGGCCATGACACACTAAGCCAGCAGCCAGTTGTTAGTCAACCATCATCCTAGTTTTTGCTGTGTGCGCGTAATTGTTTGTGTTGTGGGCAAGTGCATGGTAGATCCTCTGTTCTTTCAACATCAGGTTGTGTTGTTGATGTGCTAATTGTCTCAATAGCTTCTTGAATCTGTCGTGTCTGACTTCTGGTTTCCCTTTTTTAATGATAAATACAGACTATGGCAGCCTGCTGGTGTCGAGACTTATTTCCTCTCATGCAGGTGCAGAACGTACGTGCTAGTTGGCCATCGGCTGTAGTCTTTGTGGTGTGTTCAAGTGCAACTTTTTGGCTGAGACACAAGCAAAGTGAGGAATCTCAACAGTCGTTCTTTTGTCGCCAGTAGTTTTCTGATGTTGGTTTGGTGTGTTTAGGCCTTTCAAGATTTGTCTTAGGGATGCACCGATATAGATTTTTTCAACCGATACAGATAACTGATAATGACCTGCTTCTCACGGCCAATACGATAACCGATAATTTCACATGTTTGTATATTGAAAAGAAGTGTATAGCCTGTAGTTTGTGTATAACTGAGGGGAAAAAGGGCTAAGATGTAGTTAGAAAATATGGATGATTTAATATTCCATTTTTATAAACATACCCAGGTGCTGTCTCACCATCCCATGATACACTAGCCTACATCTACCAAGTACAATAGCAATGCGCTGTTGATTCAACTCACACGTTAACATGGAACTCAGACAAACAAGCGGCTGTGTCTCACACACACGCAGCCAGAGAGGTTGCTAACTGTAGCATTACATAGCTAGCGGTTATGAATAAGTTTAACAACAGGGTCGAGCCTTTTAAAAGCTTGGTGTTGGATGTAAGCTGCTGCTGCTAATTAGCTTCTGCTAACACTCTGGAGACGGTCCTTCAGCACTGTGTCTAAGCTGTTCGGCAGGAGATTAGATCCTTGGTGCAATCCTGTTGTCTTCCTCTAGAACTGTGAAAGGCGTCCACTCTAGACAGCATGCTTCAGTTGTTGATGTTCTTCTTCTCTGTGTTTATGGGCGACTCTAAAACCAAGTTTAAAGGTACATGTACCACCACCCACTGTGTCGAATGTGTAGATGCTGCCCATGTTAAGTCTACGAAAGCAGTCTAGCTTTGTAATGTCTGTGCTATTTATCAGTTATAGTTTTTATTATCGCGATAATGCATAGTTATTAAAATGTCCCATTATTGGCCGACAATTTATTGGCCCGATACATATCATGCATCCCTTTGTCTGTACATGTGATGAACAACTTTACTGTGTGCAACAAGGTTAAGTAGACACAAGTAGAGCCCCTCAGTGAAGTTCGTGCTCTTAAAGGAAGCCGAAAATCCTCTTCCTGTAGCGATTAGTCCAAACACAGAAACAGCTCTCTGTAATTTTAGCTCATTCTGACGCGTCTGCTCCTGTCTGTGTCAGCTAATCAGTCAAGAAAATGTAACTGTCCGTCCATCTCTCAGTCTCTCAGATTTCTCCCTGCCCGTGTCCTTTGAGAATGCTGAAATCGGACAGTGCCCCAACCTCGCCCCTGAGCCGCCTCTACCTCTTCTGCCAGATGTAGAGGAGCCCGAGAAGGAAAAGGAGGACTTGAAGCCACTCACTCCTCCACTGACCCCAGCCACCACTACACCACCTCCAGGTCTTCCTGCTGTAAGTGGCTCAAATTAACGTGGGAAAACACACACACGCATTTGGACTATTTAACTCTAATGGGCATAACGTTCATCATTATATTTTTCAACAGAAGGTTTTCAGGTTTTAAAAATAAATGAAATATGTAGTTAAGTAAGGAATACTTATTAAACCAGAGGGTTTTTATTTACAGTTATATGATGGCCAATACTTTTGTTTAGGTGCTATTGGCACATGTACCTACACAGAGAAAGCACACATATTGCACATATGATACACATATGGAGATGCATTGCAGTAAAAGGAAGCACATACACCAGCATGCACACACAGTTACTGAAGCGCACATCCTTCTCCACCATATTATTGTTTTTTTTTTTTTTTTTTTCTGACTGTTATTCACACATACTCACACAAATACACGCCTATTTCTCTCTGTTGAAATGCAGCCATGGCCTCGCCCTGTTAGCTTAGCGCTTCATCACATAGCAGTTGTACAGTCCATTAACTCTTCTTTATAGTCCCTTTAGCCTTGAGCCACTAAACTCCACCTCTGGCAGCCTGTCATACGGTGCGGAGTCACGGCGCTACGCTACGCTAACTGTGCATGCCATTTATGTTTTATGAGCCCACGGGAGCCAAAGCACTCTCAGCTAACACTTAGCTACTATGCTAAGAGGCTGGTAGGTAGTGAGTCATTCACATCATGCCCTTAGCGTTAGGATAGGCAATATATATTTCATATATTTAATATATTATGAGCCTTACAGCAGTCATAGTTTATCAGTTACCCAGTTACCTGGTAAACTACACCTCTAAAAGGACATTGATCATGAAGCACAGAGCCAAAGAGCTGTCCCAGCTTCTCTATAACCCTGTGGTCTGTTGCTTTATGGGCTGTAAGTTCATCTGCTTTATGATACAGAGTAGACTACAGGGTGAGAGAAGCCATAGCTCTATATTATAACCAAGGCTGAAGGTAAGTTTTCATCTTATTTCAGTGAGTAATTATCGTTATAATTCATGTCTTGTTGGGTGTTTTGTTTATGTTGATCTTGTTGACTCTTGGAACAGCTAAATAATCTATACAAGCTTCACCAGACTTCAGAGGAAAATGGGAGATATTTTTAAAAACGATTAAAGTCTTTAGAGGATATTACCTTTCCTCCACCAACATCACTGTTTGCAGCTTACAGAGAACCACTGAACCTGTTTACTCCTGGTATTAACTGTGTCTTGGGTGATCCAGTTACAAGTGGACAGTTTCAAGTCTGTTTGTTCATACTTGACATTAGAAAGCATATCCACGTCTCATGTGATCACTTATGTTTGGGTCTCACTGCCCTGCTCTGTATGCAGATAAACAGGTACATTTTCTGTTTGCAAAGACCAAATTCATTCTTGTTTTTAACCAGTAGTAGTTAATAAACTACAGTTACAATCATTCAAATAAAGTAGCTGCTGTTACATAAAGGAGCTAAAGTACAGTTATTATAAAGTTAAATAGAGCACGGTTATAATTAAGTATAATTAGCACTATTTTAATAAAGCTAAATATTATTCTGATAAATAAAGTGTAGTTATAATGAAGTTAAATAAAGTTGTGTTATAATGAAATGATTCATAGTGGAATCACCGGTGCTTTATTCTAAAGCAGCCAGCTTGTTTCGGGCCCAAAGTGCTGTCAATACTGAAATGTTGCTGCAGGGCTGTTAAACATGACAATTTATTTACTGTGGGCGTGAACCAATCCAATAGCTCTCCAGTTCATATATTAATACTATTTGTAAGTGGCATTGGTGCTTTATGGTTGCAAAATGCCACAAAATAGGCACAGTCTGGAGCCCTGCAAATACAAAAAAAAAACACGCCTCACCCAGTGACGCTATCATGAAACTCGTTAAAAGATAAACTGTTGCTACGGTGCTGTTTAACAAGAGAACTTATTTACTGTGGGCAAGAAACAAACTAACAGCTCTTAGGTTCATATATTTGAAATACCTGCAAGTCACACTGGTGCTCCATGGTCACTTAATGCACCTAAATAGTTGCAGTCTGGAGCCCTGCTGATACAAAAACATGCCTCACTTGCTCACACTATCCTTAAACTTGTTAGAAGTTGAACTGTTACCTGTGCACTGTTAAATATGATGATTTATTCAATATGAAATAAACGAACAGCTCCCCAGTTCATATATTAATACTATTTGCAAGCCACACTGGTGCTCCAGGGTTGCAAAATGTGACTTAAGAGCCATAGTCTGGATCCCTGCAGATACAAAAACACGTGTGATGATGATTTACTCACTGTGAAACAAACTAACAGCTCTCCAGTTCATATATTTATACTATTTGCAAGTTGCACTGGTGCTCCATGGTCACAAAATGCGACTAAATCTGCACATTCTGTAGGCCTGCAGATACAAACACACACACCTCTGCCAGTGACACTGTCATTAAACACGTTAAAAGACAAACCGTTACAGTGGCACCTTTAAATGTGAGGATTTTTTCACTATGAGCGGGAAACAAATTAACAGCTCTCCAGTTCATATATTAATAATATTTGCAAATCATGGTAGCAGTAGCCACAATCTAGAGTCCTGAGGATACAAAAACGCACGCCTCACCTGCCTCTCACCCCCTCCAATGAGCCCAATGCCAGTGGCTTTAAAAAATGATGTGATCATTTTTCCCCGATTTTCACAATAAAGTCATTTTATACATCCTGCGTGTATCAATATATGATACACTGAGTATAATTGATGTTTCACCTTACCCTAATTAATACTTTTTGTGTTGTTGTGCTGCTGCACCATGTGACAGAGCTCTGCACAGAGGTTGCAACATGCATTTTTCATCAACAGCAAGAGAATATTGTTAGACCGAAAAAGTAATCATAAGTTGAATCACAGTTGACAGTCAACAACAGTCTCAGCATGGGCTTGAATAAAGAGACTTCTTTATCTCCCACTTTTCTGTCACAGCATATTCTGTACCTCTGATTCTTGAGATAGATGTGAGCACCAATTTAGAGGTTGAAGAGGCTCGAAAAGAGGCACCTTACAGGCTCCAGTGAGCCTCTTAAAGAATGAAATCCTGAATCCTGTTTTTCACTGTGTAATTCTTATATACTTGGTGTTGTAGTTGATGACATCATGACAACTGCCTCTAATTAGCCTTTTACATCACGGCTCTCTAATGCCCCTCATTCACACTGAAATTCAGCATTAGCAGTGTATAACATAGGAGAGATTCGCAGCGCCAGTTCTTTCTGTAGTGACTGGAAACAGACCTTTACTATTTTGGTGTAGAGGTAACAAAATCTAACATGGTCTGAATCTGACAAGGTGAGAGAACCACATTTATTAAATAGTGTACAACGTTCTTACAGTAATTATGCTTCAGTTCATCGGAGCTGGAGTCTCAAAGTTTCTCTGTTACTTCATTAACCTCTTTGGCCTTTCATGTTTATAACATCTTTGCTTTCCTGTAGCTGATTGGATGGCTGTGTGCTTGTCATAAACACTGACATCATTCTGGCTCTTTGGCTGCCACTAATCCCCTTCCTTCCCACTCCCTGACTGCTGACCTGCAGGAGGCCACGCCCCCTGCTGCACCTGCCGCCACACCTACTGCTGCTGCTGCCCCGCCCACTGCTAAACAGGAGCCCAGCGCTGAAGTGGTATACATACACACACACACACACACACACACACACACACACACACACAAACACACTCGCATACAGTTAACACTGTTTAAAGGTGTACTATGCAAGATTGTTGGTTACTCTTTGTTAATAGGCTTGCAGCAAAAGTGATATTAAAAGCCGACCACAGATTCATTATCGTTTGGCATTTAGCCTCGCCATATTTTGAGCTTTTTTGGATGCCTTCTGCTTTCAGATTCTGGCACTTGGTCGCTTTCTTTTTATAAAGTTCCAACCTCACCTGAGCCTTGTGGGGGCCCATAAACTTCCCAAGCACAGGAAATAAGAGGGAAGTGGTAAAGTACAGGCAGAGGGCAGAGTCTCTGCAGAAAAATAAACCGCCACACACTTCTAATGACTCATAAGTGATAATTGAGAGGGATTAGTTCTGAGTCTAAATATTGTTTTTAGGGAAATCTGCATAGGAGATCTTTGAAGGATAAGGCTGGTGATACTCTATATTTTTGTGATTATTAACAAAACCAACAGCTCTACTAACTTCCTTCCTTGCCTGTGGCACTGAGTGGTGGCATAAGGAAGTTACTACAGGCCCAGTTCATGCTAGTATTTAGTTGTAGATGAAGTACACACTTATACAGTACAAGTCTATTTATTTAATTGAATAGTATTTTTTAATAGTTTTCAAAGTGTATGAAAATAAAAATTCTAATTTTGATTTAATGTGAGTTCTTTTTTTAATACAGGCTGACATTCTGAAACACTCACAAGGGCCCATTCTCTGCCTAACCCATTGTTGGAGGGCCCGCTCCACCCCACAGGCCCCATTGCAAGCACACTGTCTATATTTAAGCCACTGGCACTTAGGCACAAGCCTATTGGTCCCTTCTGAAGTTGCAAATATTTAAAAATTGGTCATGAAAATGTCAAAATATACACAAATCAATAAAGGAACAGCCAAATACTGTAGATTTTCAACAAATTTTACTCTAACAGGGTTAAATAGTGTATTTGTTGGGGACTATTTTAACCCTTTGAAACATGGATAGACAGCAGTTATCTTGTGCTACATTCAGATGCCTTTTACAAGCATTTAAACCTTTGAAACGTGAGCAAATTGGTTTGATTTCTTTCGTGCAAAAGCCAACGAGTGATTTGGCTAAAAATTTCCTGTAAATTGCAAGAAAACAGTAAAAAAAATATATATATACACACACACACACACATTACATAGATGTTTTCCCTAATTTTATTGTGAATCCTCTTATCATGAGCCCCTGATAAATCTGCAGGCCTGTAGCACTGAAACAGTCTCTACAAACTAAAATACTTGTGAANTATATTTATTTTTTTCAAAAAGAAAAAAATGGCCAGGAAAATACATTTAAAATAATTACAATTATGTTTTAGAAAAAAAAAATCTCTCCAGCACTTCTTTTTTTTGTTTTGATTTTTTTTCATTATTATTATTCAAGAAATTTTCCTGTAATTTTTTCAAATTTTGTGCTAATTTTTGGGTTATTTCTTGTGAAGTTGCTTGTTGCCTTTTTTGTGTGTTCTTTAAAGGGATCAGGCCAATTTCCTCAGGTTTAAAAGGGTTAACTGCTTTGATGCACTACATTTGCTGCAGCAGGAGGGTGTGCATTGGTTTGACTTAAGACTTAAGTGCAAAACCCACATTCATGGTAATAAAGGCACTTGTCACTCAGTGTTGTGGCAGATGCACTGTCTTTAAATAGTTTTTGATCAACAGTGGAGAGCCATGGGCCAGAGACATGGCTTTATGAGGCTTTGGGTACATAAACAAAACTTAGTTGGATCAGTGTTGGTTTTAGTATTTTAATAGGTTTTGTTTACACTAAGAAAAACACAGAATATCATCAGACTTACCCTTTGAAACACACACACTTGTGTATATGGTTATTAGCAATCAACCACTGTAACTGAAAACTTGCTCACTTGCTTTCTCTACTTCCTTCATGTCTTTTTGCAGTTGATCTAGGATTTTAAAATATGGTAGCCACACGCACAGAGCTCACTGTCTTCCACCCAAAGTGTATTTTCGCACATATTTATTTTCTGTTTTAACCTATTTTCACTCGGAAACTCAAAGCGAGCAAAGCTTTCTTCATCGACCCACTTCACATTTGCACTGAGCTGCTTTGTGCAAACACAGTCTTCCACTGGTGGCCACTGACCAGCTCTTGTTGAGCAGCTGGAGGTTAAGTGCTTTGCCTAAGCAAGTCCTTGATATTAGTTATTGAGAGAGGGGAGAGCCTTTTTCGCTTGACACTCTCGTAGTGAGGTGTTGTAACAGGCCATGCAGTTGCTGACTCACATAGCTATTTCTTTTCAGGTGATTAGTTTACATAGCAACATACTTAGTCTTATTTTGGCAGATGGAGCTTAGAGATATCTGCCTCTTTAGGCTCTTAGTGCAGTTGTAAAGCTATTGGATCTGCAGTTGAAGTTGAAGTTGCCTAAAGCTTTTCTAGTTTAAATTCAAGACTTAAGTTTGAACTCTATTAAGCAATATAATGACCACTGACATATGCTTAAGGAATGATGCACTTTAAGTTGGTCATGAGTTGAGCAGTGAGACACTTGTAGCTAAAGCTAATTACTACCAGAGGCCAAAAGAGAAGCTCCCCTGAAAACTACAATGAGCAGAGTGAGGACTTCTGATCTCTCAAAAGTGATGGCAACGTCTTTCACACACACACACACACACACACACACACACACACACACACTTATACAGAATCCTGTCTAAATGACTTCAGATTCTATTGGTGTGACCTCCAACCATTCTGAATGGAAGACGGTCTTCCTATTGTTAGCTTAATGGAAAGATGCAGAGGGGATGAGAGAAAGGGAGGGAAGCAGAGGAGGATAAAAGGGGACTGAAGACAGAGAGGGGATGTGAGTGGAGAGAAAAGGTGCAGCCATGGAGGAAGAGGAGGAAGGAGAGAGAGAGAGGGAGAGTCTTTCTGAACAGAGCGGCGCCCGCCTTTTGTTGGCTTAATGGAAAGACGGAGGAGAGGAAGCTGGAGAAGAATGAAAGGAGAGGGAAGGAAAGAGCTTCTGAGCAAGTGACATCTCCCTTTTGTTAGATAGGGAGAGAATGAGAAAGAGGGAAAAAAAAGAGGGAGGTTGAGGAGGAGGAGCGGATATGAGGACAGAGCGCGATAAGAGGTGAGTGTCAGCTGTAACAAAGCAAGGTCACGGTGTGGGGAATGTCTTCACTTGAAAGAGAACAAGAGAGGAGAGGAGATTAAGACACACACACACACACACACACATAGATGTTCGGTCGTCTAAGATGCTCTCCCTTTCGCTCCAACTTTGTCTCACACTGACACTGGAGGTATGGCAAAGCAGATTTGTTACTTAAGAGGAGATGTATTCAAGAGAGGAGGGGAGATAGTAAGAACAGATAGAAGGAAGGGAAACAGAATGAGGTGAGGACAGGTAGAGACAAACAGTGGAGCAAGAAGTGAGAGTGGAGATGGTGAAGGAGTGCAGAACAGGTGAGGAAAGTTGAGGAGAGGAGGAGATAAAAAAGGTGAAGGTCTAGGAATGCCTTCCATTGTAGGCATGAGCAGGCAACAGAAGAAATAGACAGGTGAAGAAGCAGGCGAAGGTAGAGGCGATGGACATAAAGATATGAAAGGAGACAGGAAAAGAGTTGAGATGAGGCGATGGGGCAGGAGGAAAAAGATGAAGGAGATGATTAGATGGGACAGTGTTGTAGTCAAGGCCACGAAAACCGAGAGCAAGTCATGACCAAGACCAGGATGTATCAAAACTGAGACAACACCAAAGCCCTTTTTAAACAGAGATCACACTTTAAGCGGCTACAAAATCCCTTCTCTATGCCTCCTTTGCATTTTTACATAAACCCAAATGACAGCAGCATCAGTCTGCTTCAGTGTGTGATTATACACTGTGTCATGGCATCCAGCAATCGAAAGAGGCATGACAGGTCCGTCAGCATCGGCCTCTAGTGTGACATGTAACATACGTGTCAGCAGTGCTTTCTCAACATAAACAATGGCATTAACATGTAAATAACAATCATTTGCCATCGCTGTTATATGGTGGCTGATGTCGTCCTCTGTTTGGAGGGTAAGGAGCTCCCGAATCTCTTTGTTTTCCCAATTTGCGGACATTTACGGCCACTTTTATTCTTCTTTGAGTTAGCCGCCAACTACTAACAGCTGCTTTAAAATCTCTTGGGGTGAGTTGCCAACATAATATGTAATCAAAACATTACACTCGTTCCACCCATGGTCAAGTCTTTCTGGCTTTACTTTTTACACAGAACTAGTTTTGGGTCTGCTACTATCTCCATTCCTGACTTAAAGAGGAGAAGACTCTGTCCCCCAGCCCCACGATCGTACCTTACATACCGAACATCAAGGCAGCATGACCACCCAATATTCCCGCCTTGAAAGGGCAGTGTAAAAGTGGCTCAAGACTTCAGATTTTGAGTCCAAGTCAAAATCAAGACCAGACCAGTGCGAGTTCCACACTGCAAGATACACTGACAATAAGAAGTGGAACTGGCCCATTGATCTGAAAAATCCACATTACCATAAAAACACCCAAATAATCCTCTTCATTAAACTCTTTTTACTGCCATATATATTTATGTGTGTGTATGTATAATAGTATCATGAGAAACGTGTGGATAAACTAATCAAAAGGCGCTGCAGAGGTGATTTTTATGTCTGGGACTTTTCCTTTGTTTTCTATAAACAAACAAATGCAAATGCTACGAAGCTGTACGAACACTCCTCTTTTGCACAGGCAGTTTAGTGATGCAGTTGTGGTCTTGACCAATCTTGAATAAAATCCTGAGTCCTCTTTGTCTGAGACTGAGACAAGTCCAGGTAAAATTGTAGTCATGTCTGAGATGAGACCCTCAAAATGTTGTCTCAAGACCAAAACAGATCTCAAGCATGACAGCACTGAATATGGCCAGGTGGAAAAAAGCCAGAAGAGCAAGATATGTGGAGAAAAAGAAAATAAGGCAACAGTGGTGTATAGAAAAGGAGTGAACGAGAGGAGGGGATTAGAGACAGGTTGTGGAGAACAAGTAACAAATGGGAGTAGAGGACACAACAGGATAGGAGTCAACAAGATCAGGAGAGGTGGAGGAAGAGGAGTAGAGAGAATACAGCAGAAGAAAAAGGTAAGAGAAACTGAGTGGAGCAGGATATGACATTAGAGGTGGGTGGCGGGAGGAAAGTGAAAGAAAGGGAAGGGGTAGGAAAGATGGGAAAGGAGGCAAGGACAGGACAGTAGAGGATGGGAAGTGGAGAGGGAACACTATGCAGGAGAACTGAAGAGCAGATAAAGTTGGATAGATGAAGAATTAAAAACCAGTTCAGACAAGCCTTCAAACAGAGTGGTGATAAAAGCAAAGAGGAGAAGAGTAGAAGTAGAGAAAAGGAAGGAAGGGAGTAGGAAACAAAAAGATGGAAGACAAGAGGGGGAGAGGACAAATAATTTTAAAGAAGAGCAAAAGAAAGTTGAGCTGACGGGAGAGGAAGAGGAAGAAATGAAAGGATGCAGAGGAGAGGAGGATGAAGGAAGAGGAGTTGTTGGGAGAATAAAGCAGAGTAGTAGCAAGAGAAGTAAATAATGAGAGGCGAAGTGAACAGGACAGGAAGGAAAATGTGAGAGAGAGAAGAAAGGGGATATGAGAGTATGAGTGTAAAGCAAAATAAAGTAGTAGCAGATGGGAGGACAGGAGGAAGACATGGAATAGGACGAGAGGAAGACTTGGACAAGGAGAAAACGATATAAGAGTGAGAGGAGGGATGACGAAGAGGCAAGTGGATGAGAGAAGAAAGAACTGTGGTAGAAAGGGAGTAAAAAAAAAAAGTCATAAATTGGGTGCCTTTACTTGTATTGCAACACTGACACCCTGTGGCCACTGGTTGAACTGCAGCCTGTAACATGACAAAGGGCACAGTAATACTCATCTAATACTTTGTTTACCCTGCTGCCAAAGTGAAGCACAAATCAAATGGAAATCAGACTGTAGTGTGTGATGTCTGGTTCAGATGGAGAGAGAATATGTGCAGGATTTATGCTGATCAAACTGTGGGAGGGTCCACTGATTTGAGAACAGTGTCAGCCAAATCCACCTTGGCAGTCACTGATTTGAAATGATAATGAGGAAAACAAAACAGTGATGAAAGATGACTGCAATTAAACACATTTTAATAGGCCATATGCTGCAACTTGCTGAGACTATCTGAAATATCCCATATGGTAAATTTGCACTATAAAAATACACTGTTTTGTGATTGCGCATCCAGGGCCTCACTTATAAATCTACATGGATTTATTCTTCTGTAAACTTTTCTTTGACCTGTTTTATATAAAGAACTGTTTGATGACCTGACCAGTGACTGACCCTCCCTTTAGGTCCCTGCAGATCAGAAGCAGAAACCCTATTAGTGTGATTGACGTGTGTTCTGCTCAGGTGTAAAGGTGTCTGTTGACAAGAGGCAATAGGAACAGTGTGGTGAAACCCTGTCAGTGTAATTGACATGTTATGTCCAATCTCCAGGATTCATGTGCATCAGCTGTGGCCCCGACAGCGCTCGAGAAGGCTTATCAGTTTGGACTGACCAGGAACAGTCACATGAGCTTTGCCTTTGATGACACCAAAGTCAGAGAGAGGTATGTATTCAAAATAAATCGTCAATATAAGTGTGTTGTTTTGCAAGTTATGCAGTGCCTACCACGGATAACAGACTGAGCTTTTTTAGAAACACTGATGCTAAGTAGCGATGACAGTGTTCCTCTAAATCAGGGGTCTGCAACCTTTAGTGTCAAAAGAGTGACTTTTGGCCAAATCAAAAATAAAAATAAAATGTCTAGAGCCGCAAAAAAACAAAACAAAAACCCACACACTTGAGCCCTATAATGAAGGTAACACAGCATATTGAGTCTAAATTAACCAACAGGTCTAAATGAGCATTCATTTATGTTTTAACACAACATGGCCACTCTGAAGTGAGCTTTTTATAATTATTTGGTTCTTTAACTTTGCAGTGTTTGTGGTGAAAGTGAACGAACCTGAGCTTGAACTCTGATGAACTGATTAGATAATGGTGGCCAAAGGTCACTTGACTTCACAAAACATGTTTCAAGAATTATCATGCTAATTATGTCAAAATTTTGCACAAATGTCTTATAGGACAAAACATAAAACAGGATGTACAGTAAAATAAAATAAGTAAAATTACAAAACATGATAACAGCAAAGCGTAAGAGAAATAACATAAAAACATGCACAAAAAAACAAGTAAAAGAAATAAATAAAGCACAGAATAACAAAATCTGAAAGTAAAATATGAAAGAAAACAGACACCTTAAAGACAATCAAAGACCTTAGAAACCCTAGGTCTTCAGCTTAGATTTAAACATATCTACAGAGGGGAAGCACTTCATTGAAAAGGGTAACCTATTCCAAAGCTTTGGGGCAACTACTGCGAATGCATGATCGCCCTTCCCCCTTAATCTCGATCACGGGACTGCCAGAGGCAACTGGTCTGAGGATCTGAGAGATCTTGGGTTGGAACGGGGGCAGAGGACCTCAGAAATGTACTTGGGAGCCAGGCCATGTAAGGCTCTAAAAACAAACAGTAGGACCTTAAACTCAGACCTGTACTTGACCGGCAGCCATTCCAGGGACGCCAGTACAGGTGTGATGTGGTCTGTCATCTGATCTAATGGTTTTGTTAAGGGATGAGCTGAAAAAAGGAAAAACATGTTGCTTACAGATTTTAGGTATTTTGGGGATCAGACTCGTAACATTCATTTGCTGGACATGTTCTCTAAGCAGTGAGTCATCTTGCCGTCTACATCAAAATGTCAGTGCTGGAAAACATGAAAACATGATGAAATGTCAAGATAGGTGTCCCACTCACTTAAAACTTCAATTTATCTTCCCTGCTGTTTACCGTAATATCCCATACTACGCCTTACTGAATACAAATAATTTGATTTGTTATATTAAATTTGGTTGAGAAATTAAACTTGCGTGCTTGAATAAGTTTATTACAGTTTTGTTTACTGCATTATTACCTTTGCAGGAAATTGTTATTTATGTTGATATGCTGTGAGAATCCATTATTGTTCTTTCCCAGGAGCCTGATAAACAATGCAAAGCATCACAAAGATATACATGATCTAAAACTGATTTACTTATTACATGTGTGTTTCAGGCTTATATTGGAGTTTGAGCTGAGAACAAGGGAGGAGTCTGGTCTCGTCCTCTACATGGCAAGAATTAACCATGCAGACTTTGTTTCCATACAGGTATCCACCTACTGCTCTGCCTATTGTTCCAATAGTTGTTTTTTCCTGTAACACAAGGTGCTTCTTTGTCTCTTGAAACACAGTCTCTGACTCTCACCTCTTCTCACTGAAATAAGTCTCAGCTCTGAGGAGGAAGAACAATGCCCATTTCTTTTTGTACCATAAAACAGTTGCAAACTCTGGCCCAGCTGCTCACAAAGTACAAGTTATGACTACTTAATGAAAAAACAGAAAAATAAATCATAATGTTTGGATTTGGATAATCTCTCTCTTCTGTTTTCTATCTGTGTATTGAGACTGTACAGAGGATAAATTTGTTTTTCTATTTCACCAAGGTCATCAAAGAGGGTAATATCATAGACTGTATAAAAGCAGACATAGCCTCTCATAGTTTGTAGATTGAGGCTCATGCAGAAGTGCCTTAAACCTGTATTCTTTCTAACGGCCAGCAGGGGGCGACTCCACTGGCTGCAAAAAGAAGTCTGGTTGTATCAAAGTCTAAGAGAAAATTACTCTGCTTCTCACTTGAGTCATAATAATGATAATATATTGGATTTATATAGCGCATTTCAGGACAGCAATCGGAGGGAAAAAAAGAAGATGAAATAATCCATAGGGAGGTAGAGAGGGAAATAATGCAGAAAGGGCAAAGTACACTGATTTTAGAGGTTGTAGGCAGTTTTGGAAAGGTGTGTTTTGGGGGGTTTCTTGAAGGTGGAGAGTGAGGGGTAGTCTCAGATGTCCTCAGATAGTGAGTTCCAGAGGATGGGAGCAGCAGTGCAAAAGGCCCTGTCCCCCTTGGTGTGGTGGTTAGTCCTGGTGCAGGGGGACAGGAGTGCGGGAGGGAGTGTACCGGTGGAGGACCTCAGACAGGTAGGGGGGAGCCAGGTTGTGGAGAGCTTTGTAAGTGATGATGAGGAGTTTGAAGTGGATATGCTGGAGGATGGGGTGCCAGTGGAGGTTATGAAGGATGGGTCACCGATGCGGGAGTGTGTGAGAAGGCGAGCAGCTGAGTTCTGGATATGCTGAAGTTTCTTGAGAGTTTTGGATGATGAACCATAGAGGAGACTGTCGCAGTGGTCTAGTCTGAAAAGGGGAAGGATGGGCGGAGGCGGGCAATGTTTTTGAGATGGAAGAGGGCTATTTTGTTGATGTGTTTAATATGTTGGTCAAAGGAGAGGGTTTGATAGAAAATGACACCACAGTTACAGACAAGGGGTGAGGAGAACACAGTGGAGCCATCGATGGGAAGAGAGAAGTTATGGGTGGATTTGATAAGAGATTTGGGACTGATGATGATGACATCTGATTTGTCACAGTTAAGTTTGAGGACGTTGGTTTGCAGCCAGGATTTTATTTCGGTGATGCAGTTGGTGAGGGTAGAGTGAGTGGCAGGAGTGATGGCTTTGGTGGAGATGTGGAGCTGAATGTTATTGGCAAAGCAGTGAAACTGAAGTCCATGATGACGGATGATTTGACTGAGGGGGAGAATGTACAGGACGAAGAGGAGGGGGCCGAGAACTGAACCTTGGGGAACACCTTGGCAGAAGGGAGAAGTGGGGGATTTGCAATGGTTTATGCTGATGACCTGATATCTGTCGGAGAGATAGGAATTGAGCCAGGAGAGTGCCAGCAGTGCCGGTGATGTTGAGAGGGGTTTCGAGGAAGGAGTCCAGTCAAGTAGGAGGAGTATGTTGAGTTTGCCGGCATCAGAGGAATGACCTCAGTAAACATTTTCTTAATGAGTTTATGTCAGTCACTAGTTTCATGTCTCCTTCAATACAGCATGGTGTTTATTTTGTAAATTATGGGTAAAATGCATGATAAAGCAGGGTATGCTTTTGGGCATGGCTACCTTGTGAATGACAAGTGACTATCACAGTGACCTCTCAGTCAGGATAGAGGTGTAGCGATGCGTATCCTCAACAACTCCACTCTTTAGTTCAAATATTGTCACCTAGGGCACCAAAAAGACCAAGAAAGTGAAAATGCCAAACTTGAGGCTTTGAAATGGTTGTCCATAAAACAATGAGTGATGTCACAGTGGCTACGTCCACTTCTTTTATACAGTCTATGGCTCTTGTTAACCATGTCAGCTTGTCATCCTTCCATCATGACCCTCGGTCTGTCTCTGTCTGTAGATCAAGGACGGACAGGTCTGTCTGGGTTATGATCTCGGTCATGGGAACATATCCGGCTGTGTTCCCTTCTCTATCAATGATGGGAACTGGCACAAGGTAGGACAGTTCTTTCAGTCTTTCATTTATGCTTATTCACTCATTAATTTATTTATTCATTCATTTGCTACACAATAATATGTGATTTAGATTCTGTCTTTATTTTATACTGTATTTCACACTTTCCTTGCTCTCTGCCATCCAGAACATTAGATCCCGGAGACTCATTTATCACAGGAAGTCCCAATTTTCTAGAAGAATTAGGCACTTTGTTGCACTGTTAATGAACACTAAATCTCAATTTCAAGTGACAAACACCTGATGGCAACATTTATCTTTTCTTACATCCAGGACAACATATGATCTCTGCTGATACTGTGGAAGGACTGCACATGTCTATTTGTCTCTATGATTCCAGCTCAGTGTCTGTCCATCTCCTCCTTCCCCCATGTCTTTCTAACCCTCCTCTCATTCTTTCTTTTCCTCTCAGATCCGTGTGAGTCGTAGCAAACAGAGAGGTCTACTTACAGTCGATGGGCGATATAGTAAACAGATGATTAGTCCAAAGAAGGTAATTTTTTCTACTCTAACTACTTTTCTCATATAAAAATATACTACATAACTGCACATACAAGGAGTTACTTGGCAGATTAGTAAGAAGAAAATATTTCCCTTAAAGTTATACTATACAGGAATTATCGGCTGCTGTTTACAAACAGTATTGCCAGCTAAAATGAAAGTCAACCCCAGCTTCACTTTAATTTTGGAACGAGCTGTGTCCCCATGGTGATTCACCTCATGCCCAGGAACATCCCAAACAAGGCAAAATAAAAAGAAACTAAGAAAATCCAGGCAGAGGGCAGAGTCTCTGCAGATAAACACACTGCCATACACTCCTTGTTTATCATTAGTGATGATTAAGAGGGATTACTTTGTATCAGTCATTGTTTTTAAGGAAAATCCTGCTTAGTATATCCTTCAGAAAAAATAAAGACAAATGATCCAGTCATCGACCTCAGATCAGTGTTAAACAGATTGTCTTTTGTTGCATTAATAATTTCTCCTCTTCTTACCAGGCTGACCTGTTAGACGTGGTGGGATTGCTTTATGTTGGTGGATTACCACCAAACTACACCACCAAGAGGATAGGACCGGTAAATGAAACACACACACACACACACACACACACGCACACACACACACGTACAAATACTGAAAGTGAATATCAGTCGACATGATTTGCAGGATTGTTGATTGATTGGTGTTTTTGAATGAGTTTGTTAGACTTAAACTAAAAATTCTCTCTTTTTCTCTTCCTAGATTCTCTACAGTATTAATGGATGTATCCGTGACTTAAAGATGGTGGGAGGTCCTGTGAGCACGAAGGCAGGAGCTACAGGTAATAATATTGTATTGTGTTAAGGATTGTGCATGTGTCACATGTTTTACACCTGTATCTACCCAGATTAGAATTGTCATATGCCTGTTGTTTATATTTAATATTTCTTAATGCTAGAATAGGTTTTGGGATTTTGTCTCCAGTTGAGTAACCCTTCCCCTCGTCTTTGTCTAGGTGGTGCTGAGGCTGTCATTGAAGATTTTAAATTGGACATGGCCACGCCCACCTCCAGTCACATGGTGGGAAGATGCTTTGTTGCTACTGAGACAGGCACCTATTTTGACGGAACTGGCTTCCTGAAAGCAGGTGAGATAAGACACTGACATGTCACTTACATCATGTAAATTGTGGGTCAGTTCTAAAAATGAGGTATGAAATCTTGTCAGTCTGTCATGGGGTGAGATACTGTATGTGGTTGTGATTTATCTAGGAGCATCCTTCTCTATGTCTTAGAGGTGGGTATGTCATAAAACAAAGTATAGTATGCCATAAAAAGTCAGTAAAACAGCCATAGTGTAGTATGTCATAAAAAATGTCCAAAAAAGTCATAGTATATAAGTCATAAAGTATGTTAAAACATTAAAGTTATAGTTTGCCACACAAATTCATAATATAGTATGTAATGGAAAAAGTCTGAAAAAGTGATAGAAGAGTATGCCATAAAAAAACTAGAGCACCCAGAGAGCGCAGACCTCCGCCAAGCAGCTCGGATTTCCCGCCATTTTATTATTTTATCCACTTTCAACGCTTCAACCGATCACTAAAATTTTAGCGTCTGTTCCTTGTCCCATTATCAACCTCTCCTGAAAATTTCATCAAAATCCATTCAGAACTTTTTGAGTTATTTTGCAGAAAAACAGACAAACAGACCAACGCTGGCGAAAACATAACCTCTTTGGCAGAGGTAATCACAGAAAACATCATAAAAAGTAAAAGAAAAAGTCATAGTACAGTATGTCATAAAAAAGGTTTTTTAAAAAATGGTCATAATATAGTATGTCATAAAAGTTTAATTGTACAGTATGCCATAAAGTCATAGAAATTAAAAAAGAAATAGTATAGTGTGTTATAAAGAAGTCATCGAAAATAAAGTCGAAAAGCTATAGTATAGTATGTCATAAAAAGGTCATAATTAAGCAGGTTCAAAAACATAAAAAGCTGATAGTATAGATAAAAAATGGTGGCCCTCAGAAACACTTTGTGTGGCCCCTGAACATTACATGAAATCCATGCATTATATTTTAATAATCTGCAGTATGTCTCAATGTTTTCAGTAGCTTACATTTAATACACTGCTCGGCTGCTGTGTCAAACTGCAAGAATTACATTTTGTCATCCATGCTTGTGGTGTTTGCTTAAGTTAGTAACTTCTGTGGGCAACTCGACAGTAATATAAAAGTAAGATAATAGATATTTTGTTATATGTGTGGCCTTGACCTGTGCGGTCTCAATCATATGATGGCTCCCTAAATTGGCACATTAAGAACCCCTGAACTAGCAGCTATGTAACAACCACCCAGTAGTGACTTATGAACCTAGAGTAGCTGTATCTTGCTCAGGAACAAAGCACTTGTTGTTGTTATAGGTGATTAATGATCTCTTTGTCTCTCCAGTCGCCTCTTACAGAGTGGGTCTGGATGTGTCCATAGCATTAGAGTTCAGAACCAGCAGAACCAACGGCGTGCTTTTGGGCGTCAGTAACCAAGCCAACGATGGATTGGGAATAGAGATCGTCGAGGGCAAGGTACATAACAATAGTTATAGGAATAGGTACTAACTAGGTACTGTATAGCACAGTGTGTGCTAAAAAATTGCGTACAGTATCACAGAGTAATACAGGTACTTACATATATGTGAACATACATTAATGGATAGCTATAGATTGATGACTGAAAAAATAAACTAGTTTTTAATACATGCATTTTCAATTCACATTTTTCCCATTTCCCTTTCCCTCCCCCTAGCTGCTCTTCCATGTTGACAATGGAGCTGGACGAATCACAGCAGAGCACATGCCTGAGGGTGATGGCTTCTGCGACGGCCAGTGGCACTCTGTCATTGCTAGAAAACTCCGCCACAGGGTGGAGCTGGTGGTCGATGAGAAGCTGAGCCAAGCAGAGAGTCCTAACCCACGCTCCAACACATGTGACACCAACGACCCCATCTATGTCGGAGGATATCCTGGTATGACTGCCTTCTCACACACGATCTTTAAAGGGACAGTTCATCCCCAAATCAAAAATGTACCTTTTACGTCTTACCTGTAGTGCTATGAATCAACCAAGACTGTTTTAATGTAATTTGCCTGCTGTCACAATGACACGAGCCTCCCATCCATGAGTAGATGCACGATTCCTTCTGTGCTGTGATACAGTTGGAGGGTGTAGTACTTTGTGTGTACTTTGAGCACCACAAGCTGAGTGCCATCTAGTTCCATTATATTAGAGAGAAGGCAGACATCAATAAGGCCGATATCTCCAACTCTCAGCAACTCACACTAAAACAATCTAGACTGATAAATAGCACTACATGTAAGACTTATAATATGTGTTTCTGATTTTGGTGTGAACTCTCCCTTTAAAGTAAAACATCTGTTAACTGTTATGTAATTAAAATAAAATAGATATGTTGCTATGCAGGGGAGCCTGTTGTAGAAAACACATTAAATTCACTTGTATATTTTCACACATGCAATAATGCACTGAGCAGTGTGATGTCATTCCTTTATTTCTCCTTCAGATGGAGTCCGACAGGCAGCTCTCTCTACCAGCACTTCCTTCGGAGGTTGCATGAGGAACCTGAAGATCACCAAGGCTGCTAAGACCATGGACGTGCACTTCAACAAGGCTCTAGAGATTAAAGGAGTCCAGCCTCTCTCCTGTCCCGCTGTCGCTGCCTAATCAGTACCGGAGCTTCCACTTTGTTGTTTCTGTAATGCAGTACCTCCTCCAAATCCTGGTCTCTGAACCTGCACTGGGCACAGTGTTTATACATCAGTGTGTAAAACATGCACATCTGCTTTTGTCCAGTTGTTGAGCCAAAACGCAGATATGTGTTTCACAAGGACTCGCTTGTTTCCAGCTTAGAGAGGTGTACCATGACGCAGGTTTAACAGGGCCAGACTTTGTTTTAGCTGGTGTAACACACTCTAAAGCCTCTTTGAGCCTTAACATAAAACAAGACATTCTCAGGGCGTCTCATGACTCTTGATCGATTGTGCACCGCCTACTTTCCCCTTTGAAGAATATTTTAAAATTATAACAGTAAAAAGTAATACTGTTGATTAAGATGAGAAGAGTGTTGGCAGAAAATACTTAACTTGTGAATTCTCAAGTTATATTTACTTTTACTACTTGATTTCTAACATGACAGCAGCACATTTTACAGCTCTGAAACTTTAACCTTTATGCAGCTGATTCCAGTGTTGTACTCAAGATATACTGACACTGTCCCATTATAAAGGATACGTGGAAATAATTTTAGCTTTTGGCCAAATCAAAGTAAAATATTTCACTGAATATTATCTGTGATAAAAATATAGACTCATTAATCTTCTAATTGGTGTGTTTTATCAGTATTATATATATGGTATTTCAGTAATATACCAGCAATGTTTAACAGACTTCAGCAAATCAGGATCAAACATAGAAACACAATTTGAGACAGTAAAGGTATGAAATGGTTTCATAGATTAACAGCTGACAAAAGAGTGATGCTATCTTCAAAGGAGAATGCGTGAGAGACACTTTTTCTAAACTGCCCCAGACACAGGTTAGCTGTACAGCTTAAAGTTTTACCTTACCTTACCTTACCTTACCTTAAGTTACCATGGAGATCTAGCCAGGTTAAAAAGGAGCCACCTTCACGGCATGAAAAACTCTTCATGCTCAACATACCTCTCTGACCAACTCATCTTGCTTCATGGTACTCCCCTCTGAGACATCAGGTGAACTCAGATGTGTCCTCAACCACAGAATTGGTGTACATCTCCAACAGCGACTCACTCAGAATACAAAATGTATCAGAGTAATATCGTCAAATGGCTTGTAACTAGGAAAAGGAGATTATAATAATACAAGTATCGGATCAGAGTGATATATTTTTTTTGATTGCTTTTCCAGCAATTTAGTATTAATTTGTTTCAGATCTTCACTTTGAATATGGTTTTTGTGATGTACACAGTGTTGGTTTACAGGCTTCCATATTGTATCTGAGGCTCAAAGATGACACACACTTGAGTGAACTTGATGCCCCAAGTAGCTGATGAAGAGCCAACCAGGTCTCAATGTTGTCATCTTGCTAAATTAGTCAAAGAAAAACTGTTTGTGAACAGGTGAGTCCTTGTGAAACACAGTGTCTATACAACAAATGGTCAGATTCTTTCTGCCTCAATCACAAAATAAAATAACACTTTCATCCATTTTGTTTAAATTAATTTTGCTGTCAGGTGTGGTCACTGACTATAACCTCAGTGTGTAGCATATACTTACCTGTGGTAACTTACTAAACAGCAAACACAGTATCCAGAGAAAGACACATGTAAACTTTCCTGTTTCAGGATATATAAGGTGAAGTTATCCGGTCAAAAACATTTTCTTAACCTATAAAAGTTCCCTCTAACATTGTCGGTACTAGGCCTTCACGTTATGTTCAGTGTACGTCAAAATAAATATGGCTACTAATGGAGGACTGAAAGTATTTTAAAATGTGTTTCATGATTAGTCCACTAAGTTTACACAATGGAAGCTAGTATTCAGACCTGTGCTGTGGTCACAGGTGCTCACAGTATTCAAGCTAACATTATTTTTGGATATGCGTGATCATGTGAACAATAAGTCAGCGTAGTTTAACAGGAAAGTTCCTCTTGACGAGGTAGAACAGGGTATGTCCAGTCCTCCAGTTAGTTTATTTTACCCTTGTTACACAAACTTCTCCGGAAAAATAATAAAAATGACAATATATATATGTTAGCGTGAGTTTTCTACATTTGTCCTTTATAAACCTTGTTCCCTGAGAATTTGTCGACAAAGTCTGAATCATTTGTATGCTTTTTTTGTTAAGGAATAATTTGTTAGTGATTACCTTCTCATCCTCAAAACAACATATGAAGTTGGACTTCTTTTCAGCCCACTGTAAAGCAACTGATGTGGACAGTGATCTCAATACATCTAAAAATGATACTCTTATTAAATGGTTATAAAGCCACAAGAGCTTTGGTTCAAATGTCCACTATCTCGTTATCAAAGCAATTAAATGAGTCGTCTTGATTAACCCCAAACGTGAATATAAGTAGTAAAATTGTTGTACTAAATACAGTACAAACTTTGCTTTATCTACATGCTGACTTTACTGATGTTTTAATAGACACAATGTTGACCAGATGATGAGAGCAGTTTTTACTTTTTGGGGGGTGCAACATCCCTTTGACATTCCACACTTCATCAATTGATTTGATGTACAGGAAATTTTCATTCAAGCTGGAGCTTGTGTTGCTTTTGATACAGTTGTGACACCAAACTGGAGGTACAAGGTTTCTGTAGGACACTAATGATGGTGTATGTTCTGCATGGTGTGGCTGAAAATTCTTCAGCAGCTGTTTCTGAAATATATTCTTGAAAGCATCACTCAGATTGTCCTGTCCTTCTTTTAAACTGCTGAATGTGATAATGTTGAACTGTATTCTTGGAAATAAAGAGAAGTCTCCTCTGAACCTGCAGCATGTGTCAGGACACACACTGTGCACTCATTCATTGATACAAATGAAGAATATTTTTAAAATAAAATATTTGTCTGATTTTTCAGTATAAATAAAGAAGAAAATGATTCAGAAGACACCTGGAAAAACATCTACTGCTGCTGTTTACTTTATCTCCACTAGGTGGTGGTACAGCACTTCACAGCTGATAAGACTGCCTGCATCCACCAAATGAAAATACTCTTGAGTATAATCCGATTAGTGTCCACTGCTGCTTCAGGCTGATTAACACAGTGTCCAGTAGCTTACAGTGATTCAAGTTTTAGACCATATAATTAAAGATTTCTATATTAAATTGCTAATTATTCTGGTTAAATTAAGCATTTATATGTGCTTGCCATCTTGATTTGAAATAACATTTATTCTGTATGCTTTGTCACAGTAACCAAGAGGCAAGAATAAAGACAGGGGGTCTTAAAGAGCAGTAAAAGTTGTTAAATCAATTCATTGACAATTACAGGCCTTAAAGTATTTTTTAAAAATCTAAAACACTGTTTTCTAAAACATTAATTTTTTCAATGCATTTTAAATTTATTTATACAGCTCAATATCACATATTACAATTTACCCCAGAGGGCTTTACAACAACCGACATCCATCCGTCCCTCATCCCTAACAACAGGTAAGTAGAGTATGACATTTGACATGCTACACGATGACGTTTCCTTAACGTGCTAAACTATGACAATTTAATGACATGCTGTACTATGACTTTTTTCATGATTTTGGACAACTCACTATACTATGACTTTTTTCATGATTTCAGACGACATACTATACTATGACATTTTTTTCATGGTTTTGGACGACATACTATACTATGATGTTTTTTTCATGATTTTGGACAAAACACTGTACTATGACGTTTTTTTCATGATTTTGGACGACATACTATACTATGACTTCTTTTCATGATTTTGGACGACATACTATACTATGACGTTTTTTTTCATGATTTTGGACGACATACTATACTATGACATTTTTTCACGATTTTGGACGACATACTATACTATAACTTTTTTTTATGATTTTGGACAACACACTATACTATGACTTTTTTTTCATGGTTTTGGACGACATACTGTACTATGACGTTTTTTTCATGTTTTTGGACAACACATTATACTATGACGTTTTTTCATGATTTTGGATGACATACTATACTATGACGTTTTTTTCATGGTTTTGGACAACACACTATACTATGACGTTTTTTTCATGATTTTGGACAAAACACTGTACTATGACGTTTTTTTCATGATTTTGGACGACATACTATACTATGACTTTTTTTCATGATTTTGGACGACATACTATACTATGACTTTTTTTCATGATTTTGGACGACATACTATACTATGACTTTTTTTCATGATTTTGGACGACATACTATACTATGACTTTTTTTCATGATTTTGGACGACATACTATACTATGACTTTTTTTCATGATTTTGGACGACATACTATACTATGACTTTTTTTCATGATTTTGGACGACATACTATACTATGACTTTTTTTCATGATTTTGGACGACATACTATACTATGACTTTTTTTCATGATTTTGGACGACATACTATACTATGACTTTTTTTCATGATTTTGGACGACATACTATACTATGACTTTTTTTCATGATTTTGGACGACATACTATACTATGACTTTTTTTCATGATTTTGGACGACATACTATACTATGACTTTTTTTCATGATTTTGGACGACATACTATACTATGACTTTTTTTCATGATTTTGGACGACATACTATACTATGACTTTTTTTCATGATTTTGGACGACATACTATACTATGACTTTTTTTCATGATTTTGGACGACATACTATACTATGACTTTTTTTCATGATTTTGGACGACATACTATACTATGACTTTTTTTCATGATTTTGGACGACATACTATACTATGACTTTTTTTCATGATTTTGGACGACATACTATACTATGACTTTTTTTCATGATTTTGGACGACATACTATACTATGACTTTTTTTCATGATTTTGGACGACATACTATACTATGACTTTTTTTCATGATTTTGGACGACATACTATACTATGACTTTTTTTCATGATTTTGGACGACATACTATACTATGACTTTTTTTCATGATTTTGGACGACATACTATACTATGACTTTTTTTCATGATTTTGGACGACATACTATACTATGACTTTTTTTCATGATTTTGGACGACATACTATACTATGACTTTTTTTCATGATTTTGGACGACATACTATACTATGACTTTTTTTCATGATTTTGGACGACATACTATACTATGACTTTTTTTCATGATTTTGGACGACATACTATACTATGACTTTTTTTCATGATTTTGGACGACATACTATACTATGACTTTTTTTCATGATTTTGGACGACATACTATACTATGACTTTTTTTCATGATTTTGGACGACATACTATACTATGACTTTTTTTCATGATTTTGGACAATAAACTATACTATGACTTTTTTTCATGATTTGGGACAACAAACTATACTATGACTTTTTTTCATGATTTTGGACGACATACTATACTATGACTTTTTTTCATGATTTTGGACGACATACTATACTATGACATTTTTCCATGGTTTTGGACGACATGCTATACTATGACTTTTCTTCCATGATTTTGGACGACATACTATACTATGACATTTTCCCCTGATTTTAAACGACATACTATACTATGACTTTTTTTTCATGATTTTGGACGACATACGATACTATGACTTTTTTTCATGATTTTGGACGACATACTATACTATGACATTTTTCATGACATTTGGACGACATACAATACTATTACTTTTTTTTCATGTTTTTATACAACATACTATACTATGACGTTTTTTCATGATTTTGGACGACATGCTATACTATGACTTTTTTTCCATGGTTTTGGACGACATGTTATACTATGACTTTTTTTCCATGATTTTGGACGACATACTATACTATGACTTTTTTTTCATGTTTTTGGACAACATACTATACTGTGACTTTTTTTTATGATTTTGGACGACATGGCATTTTTTCATGATTTTGGGTGACGAATTATACTATGACATTTTTCATGATTTTCGACGACATACTATACTATGACGTTTTTTTCATGGTTTTGGACAATACACTATACTATGACGTTTTTTTCATGTTTTTGGACGACATACTATACTATGACTTTTTTTCATCATTTTGGACGACATACTATACTATGACATTTTTTTCATGGTTTTGGACAACACACTATACTATGACGTTTTTTTCATGATTTTGGACGACATACTATACAATGACTTTTTTTTCATGATTTTGAACGACATACTGTACTATGACTTTTTTTCATGATTTTAGACGACATACAATACTATGACGTTTTTTTCATGTTTTTGGACAACACACTATACTATGACGTTTTTTCATGATTTTGGACGACATACTATACTATGACGTTTCTCATGATTTTGGACGACATACTATACTATGACTTTTTTTCCATGATTTTGGACGACATACTATAACATTTTTCCATGATTTTGGACGACATACTATACTATGACTTTTTTTTATGATTTTGGACAACACACTATACTATGACATTCTTTCATGATTTTGGATGACATGGCATTTTTTCATGATTTTGGGTGACGAATTATACTGTGACATTTTTCATGATTTTCGACGACATAGTATACTACGACTTTTTTCATGATTTTGGACAACATGCTATACTACGTCATTTTTTCATCATTTTGGACAACATACTATGCTATGACTTTTTTTCATGATTTTGGGCGACATACTGTGCACTTTTTCATGATTTTGGACGTCATGACATTTTTTCTTAATTTTGGGTGACGTCCGATACTGTGACATTTTTCATGATTTTGCACGACATACCATACTATGACTTTTTTCATGATTTGGACGACATACTATACTATGACTCTTTTTTATGATTTTGGATGACATACTATACTATGACGTTTTTTTATGATTTCGGATGACATACTATACTATGACTTTTTTCATGATTTTGGACAACATACTATACTATGACTCTTTTTTATGATTTTGGATGACATACTATACTATACTATGACTCTTTTTTATGATTTTGGACAACATACTATACTATGACATTTTTTCATGATTTTGGACGACATACTATAC